AATTCGCGTCCGGAGTAATCTCCCAGTTTTTTCCAACGTAGTTCTCTTGTCTGTAATTGCAACAAACATGGCAAACGACTCCAGACCTCTCCTGCAGTGGTTCTTTCAGCCTTACTACCTGACACGCAATGCTCGCCTCTCCTTAATCGAAAGAGCGTGAGACGGCTGCAGACGGCTTCCGAGACGTGCTTCGCATACAAGAAAGGTAGACAGAATATGGGACTAATTTGACTTGATCTCTCGTATATTTGCGCATGCTCTGCTTGAAAAAGTTTCACGATGCCGAAGTTCTCGTAACAGGTGACAAACACATGAACTATTCGAGCCATCGTTTATTACTAGACGCCATCATCTCACACTCCCATCTTCTGTATTGAGACTTTGCGTGGAGGGGACGATGAGCCGCGCAAGTAGGGCATGGACAACCAACCAGTCCAGTCATCGCAAGCAAAATCACCAAATAATGCGCATGCCGACATCCAACGCTGATGAGGAAATCGTTGGCCCTAGCGAGTTGGTGGCATTATAAAAAGTAGTCAACGCATGGCTCCTGTAGCTGATCTTGACAAATGCTTAGTATAGGACGTTTGTGATGGCATGACAACCGCGCCCTATAAACACTGCACTCCTAATGTCACCACTACACTTATCTGCAGTTGTATTTGATGATGGGCTCGAGAAAGAATTCGAAACGCTAGACCAATAAACTTCTCATTCCAGAGATCATATCTTATTTTTCTACCACTGGTTATTTTATCTACAATCCTCACTGACCATGCGCTGGAATGCTAATCCGTCGATGTTATGTCAGCAATCTGAGTCTTCTGAACCGCTTTCTGGAACTTGTCTTTTCGTTTCAAAGTCGGAGTGCAAAAAATCTCGTGGTCTTCGTGACAAGTTTTGGTGATATGCCTGGCCGCCAAATTCGATAGAGTTGTTTTCTGCAAGCGAAGAGAGCATTTATATTGCAATCTCAAACCCAAAATAAAACCTGATAGTTATGAATTTAAAGACATTCACCGACAGATTTGAGGTCAACCCCGTCCTGCTTTGCGGATGTGATTTGGAGCTCTTTGGACGTTCATGTGGAGATGAACAAGTACTATCAAAACGGCAGGTTTTTCATGATCGTCGACCACTCAGCGTCCGATCCTAGAACGAGAAGACGGGGGAACGGACCAGAAATCCAGTCAGGTCAACCTTCTGCTGCTAAGCTCGGTCATCTCGACTTCGGTCTTGTCACCGGTTTAATGCGGTGGAGGTTTAGAGTGAGGTAGGCAATTGAGCGTCTATTTCAATATACTCTCGTACTTAGCTCGATTTACCATCTCTGCTCTTGAGCACATGGCGACCTAATCGAAATCGATGGTCATACAACAAGATGGGCGCTAAAGCTAGTTGGTGATGACTAACATGTCGGCAGGAGATAATATCATGTAAATACTTTCGTAATGCCTCTACACCTATGATAAAGATGGCGTAATTTTGTGCTTCATGCTGTGTTGTCTTACCTGCGAAATGAGTCAGATATAATAAAGACTAGGCTAATTAATTGCTCTCCAATCCTGCATTAATTTCTGCGCTTATATAAACTTATACCGAATGATTAACAGGTTGAAGCTGAGTTCATCCCCAACGTACTTATATGCACACCCCAATCTCCCTAGTCCTTGGCACGAACAATTTTTGGGGCTCTGGACCTTATCATCATATCAAAAAAGAACCCTTAAGTGTTATTTTACTGGTTCTTCAGATGGTTGAACATGCTTGTTTCTCGACGGAGTTGCACCAGCTCGTATTCGTAAAAAGACAGTACGTCTTCTGATGAGGCAATAGTTAATGGATATGATACTTAGTCAATTACAGCAGATTGTTCAACTCATGAAATGCGGAGAAATCGAAATTCGACTGAGCAGTTTAGTGTGCATCTGCACTTGCTATTTTGAATTTTTGGTTTGATGGCCGGCGTGCGGACCACTGGTTGTCCTGCCTACGTATGTGCTTATGATATATTTTATGCCTGTGACAGCCCTATCAGCGCAATCGAGAGAAAATCTGTTTGCAATAGTCAAACACACCTCAAACAATTTAGAAACGGAAGATAACGGTCACTTTAGCCAAACCCGATTACTCCAGTTTCCCATTGCTACCACAAGCAATTGGCGCACAAACGGACAGTTATCCTCGATAGTAGAGTCGTTAATGGTCATGAGTGTTCACTAGCATAGTGACTGTATCCTATCAATAGTGCAACTCTCTGTGTGCATGAATTACCCGTTTCTGGCACTGTTTCTGCTATTGTCTCTCCGCGACGGATTTCGAAACGCCAGGCGACTAAAAGTCCTGCCCCAGCGATCATATCTTCGTCCCATGGCCGATTTCCCCTGTGTTTTTCATAAATTTCTTCTGCACAAACTGCCGACCGCTATGGGACTGCATGCGATGGTTCCACATTCAGTCCGACGGGAAAATGTGAAGAACAGGTCTAGAAACAAAAGGTGTAACACTTCTTGAAGAAGTTTAGGGAAATAGCATCTATTCGAATCTAGAATATGGGATTTAGGAGTGAGGGTTAGGGCAAGGGTGAGAGTTAGAGTAAGAGTAAAGTTTAGGGTAAAGGTCGGGTTTAGGTTAAGTGCAAAGGGTAGGTTTAGGGTTATGCACAACGACCTATGTAGGCAGTTATGCATCGTAAACTGCATAATCGCGATTAGCCTTTTCTAGTCGTCTCAATGAAACGATTACTTTTATAGTAGTGCCATGGCTTAGAATCTATTTTGAGTTTTAAGTAATTGGGAAAAAACTTATCTTGCATGGTTTTACTTTAATCTCTAAAATTTGATAAGAGTCGACGTAGATTCAAGATGCAATTTTACCCGCTTTGCGGGTCCCATCTGTATACTTAATAAAAGTCTTGACTGGCTCTGTGTGGACTTCCACTATCATTGGTCCCAGGGGTCAGATTAAACTGCCTTCTGCGCCTTCTGCACGCGGGCATGCGCGCATGTCCGTATGTCAGTAAC